ATAAAGTATATGAATAATTCATCCATTGGGAATGAACGAAGACAAATGAAGTAAACAATCATTTATTAAAAGACAAGACTTTTGGGGTGTTTGGGTGGCTCAGTTGGTTAAGCGTTGTGCATTGGAGCCCCGCATTGGGCTCTGAGCTGACAGCTCAGAGAACCCTTTCCATGAATTTAGTACAAATAAAACAAAACACCAGACAGATATTACCTATATAAGACAAAGGGTTCACTAAACACCCCTCCCTGCAACAAGCACAGATGAAGTGACTTTGAACAAACTTGGCAACGTTTTTGAATTTCAAGATTAAATGAAAAATTCCACAACTATTTGGGCAAAATGTAAAAGAAGTCACACAGGTTTCAGACTCCGTTTAACTCAGAGTGCCAGGATATAAGGTAACAAGAACAAAGTTTTGAGAGAAAAACACTGTGGTCCAAAAATGTTTTGACCAAGCGCAGAGTAGTTAATTTGCTGGGATAACAGGATGCCTTCCATGTTTAGATCCGCAGAGTGCAAAACATAAATTGTACATGGACACATTTCCTGAAATTTTTACTTAAAAATACATGTAAACAGGGTAAAGATGAATAATATGGATATTACAGAAAGAGGTATTTGAAATTTTTACTTAAAAATACACGTAAACAGTGTAAAGATGAATAATATGAAAATTACAGAATGAGGTATTTGAATAAGAAATTACTGTGTCGTATATTGTTATTAATTTAAAGTGTACTTGCTTAATATTAACACAAAAAAGCCACAGAGGCTCACACTGAAGTGTTAAGTCTGTATATATACTAGCAACATGTATTAACATAAGTAACACCAAGAATAATATAAATAACAATGTAATTCTTATTTCTAGGAGATAAAAACTTTAGTGTATGATCATGAATATATTATGAACTTTATATGAGCAAATGTCATAGTCGTCAAATAACTTTAGGATAGTTGGTTTCTTGGGAAATAGCTCTTAAATCAGATCTTTACCTTACACTTAAGATTAATATGAATTAAAGCAAAACAAGTCTTAAGGTTTATTAAATCACATATCTTAGAAAAGCTGAAAATATAAATCACAATATTTCTGCTTCTGGAGCAGTCACTGAGCTTTTGGGCATAAACAGCAAAATTCACAGAGTACAAAATTAAATATTGAAATGTTCCTCAGAAGAAACCCATAAACATTTGTCTTACCAGAATCAGTAAGTAGATATGTGGTATAGTTTTCATTAATAAAACAATGAATGCCGTAAATATTTTACCCAATAGCTCTGTATCACCTCTGCCTAAACACAGTGTTTCACCTGCTTTACAGTAAAAAAGGACATTATTTTTTTAATTTAAAAAGTTTTTTTGAATGTTTTATTTATTTCTGAGAAAGAGAGAGAGAGCATGAGCAGGGGAGGGGTAGAGAGAGGGAGATACAGAATCCAAAACAGGCTCCAGGCTCTGAGCTGGTTGTCAGCACAGAGCCCGACGTGGGGCTCAAATCCATGAACCGTGTGAGATCATGACCTGAGCTGAAGTCGGATGCTCAACCGACTGAGCCACCCAGGTGCCCCCCCAGAAGGCCACAATTTAACAGATATTAAGTACTATATAATTTCCTTATATTGTAATGTTTGTATATTCCAACACCACATTAAGAGGTTTACTAATGTGATTCGGTATTTGCAATAAACCTCCTCGGTAAGTGTTACCCATCTTTTTACTAATGAGTGAACAGAAACAGAAATAAGGAGTGTGATACGACCATATAACTCGCAGGATTTGAACTCAGATCTAAGTACAAAATCTGAGTGCTTGATCCCTTGTAAAACACTTTTCCAGAGATTTTATACACAATGTGAGAAAAAGTTTTTCCTGTGTTGTTTTTTTCCCATATCCCCTGGGCTAGGCACAGTGACTGGCGTATCATAAGCACTCAGTAAATACTTGTCGCATGCTGAATATACATATATGTGAAACTGTATTAGAAACTAAGAAATATAATCCTGAAAACAAATAGATACTTTAATCCAAGAAAGTTTTTACCAGGGTTTGGTGGCAGGATATGGAAATGTGGGACATGAACAGCACTGAAATAACTATACCCTGAGGCAGATTTGTAAACATCCATTGCAAGGTCCACCAATAAAGGGCTGTCTCTAAGGAAAGACGCCGTGACCACAACTGGATACGCGGAATCCCTCATACAAACTCTGCTTTCCACATGATTTAGTTTTTGAAATATCCCATATGGCTTTTTTGGATACTCTTTCATTCTTTTTTTAAAATTCTTTAAATGTTTTATTTATTTTAGAGAGAGACAGAGCGAGCAAGCCTGAGTGGAGGAGAGGCAGAGAGAGAGGGAGACAAAGAATCCAAAGCAGGCTCCAGGCTCCGAGCGGTCAGCACAGAGCTGGACACGGGGTTTGAACCCTGGAACCACAGATCACGACCTGAGCGGAAGTTGGACACCCAACCAACTGTGCCACCCAGGTGCCCCGGATACTCCTCCATTCTTATATGGCTAATAACATCAAGTATTCTTGGTCACCCAGGGTATGATGACAGTATTAAAATTTCTGCTTAATTAAGAGAAATATTAGTCTGGCTTAATCTGTTATGCCAGTAAGTTAATATGTTGGACAAGAATATTGGTAGGAAAAACAGGGATACATTCACTTAGAATTAAGGCAAGCCAAAAGAACTGATGGCTGTTGCAAATTATGCCATTAGAAAAGAAGCATCGATACAATCTTGAGCTTGTCATTCTAGGCAGCGGGTGAAATAGGAATCTTAGAGCACTTATCTATGATGATGTATTTAGTCTTTGTAGATATACATTTAGGAAGTGACCATATATGAAGCTTAAATATTCTGACTTAAGGAAAATAATAAGTAATAATAAATAACTGGAGAAAAATGCAGCCCAAAGAGAACAGAGTCAGTCTAGTCCAAACTTTTACTGACAGTAACCTTTTTCTTAAACCAGATTTTATTCTCATTGTATAAGCTTTTCCTTTTTCATCCCCATTCTGTTCCTTATTACTATCCCTACTTTTTAAAATGTTTATTATTTTTGAGATAAAGGGAGAGGGAGAGATGGGGGGAGGGGGAGAGAGGGAGAGCATGAGCAGGGGACAGCAGAGGAGAGAGAGAGGGAGACCCAGAATCTGAAGCAGGTTCCAGGCTCCCAGCTGTCAGCACAGAGCCTGATGTGGGCCCGAACTCAAGTTGGATGCCTAAATGACTGAGCCACCCAGATGCCTCTACTATCCTTGTTTTATTGGATAGAAAACAGAAATTTCTCTGCAAGTTAGTATTTGCAATTCTTGTTTTTATTATTATTTTCCCGGCAGTTTAGTCTCATATAATTGATTTCTGCATAAGAACCCTGATTGGGGAAAAATTAGGCATATGTTGCGATACCCTCTTCCAGGCACACAATACCTGTATTTGCAACTTTCCTTCTGTTGCCAATCTCCTGGCGGCTCATTCCATTGCCTCCAATGCTTGATATGCTTCCTGGCATCTCAGTATTTTATCAGCTAGGATCCACTTACAAGTGACACAAGAAAATGGAGTCCAGAGTCCACGTCTTCCACATGGCAGCTCTTGTCCACCACCCAGTGCTCATGCCTAAATTGCTGATGATTCTTAATCGTAACAGGATCTCTGTGAACTTCTTAATGAGCTTAGTTAAAAACATTTTTATTTATGCAGCTTGGGGACCTCTAGAGAAAGGGAACCTTTGGGAAGACTTGATTCAACACAGGGAATGAGGAAATAGCTGAGAACAAATATTAACCAAGTGAAATAAGTATTAAGGAGGCAGGGTAAGAACACAGGCAATTCTGGAATCTGTACATTTAATTGGACTGAGAATTTCCCTTCGGCAATGCCTAGAGGACCATGAAGACTGGGGAAGGTGGGTAGAGGCTCACAGATCTAAAAGCATGACCAGTATAGCCATTTGTGAAGTACTGTTAAGAGTGCGCCTGACTTTTATCACTTATTCCCATCAGAATTTAAACTCTTACTTTGACCTCTTAAATATTTAATAATTAAATACATAAAACACTCTGTACAGTTTTTAAAAATCCAAACTCCTATTTTCTTCTCTGTTCTTAAAGAACTCTTCTCAAACATTATCTGGCACCATTCCCTTACCTTGCTGACACACAACCGTAGTAACACACACCGAGTCCAGGAGAATAAGGCTGGGGGGTGACTGTAACCTGTACTTTTTTTGCTCCAGAAAACAAAATATATTTTTGTTATAGAAAATACTCAGTCCCTAATAATTGATTAGAAAATTGATTTCTAATTTGAACAGTTCCCAATATTTCAGCAGCAATTTGGAAATATTGCAAGATGATCCTAATTTTTATTTCAATAAGCTTAGGAACCAAATCAATAATACATGTAAAGTGCCTCACATCAGGTACCAAATAGCCTTCAATAAACGTTAACCTTCTTTCTCCTCTTCAGGAGTAAGTTGAAAAAGTGAAGTATTTATTATTTAAAGTTTAGTTGTTTGGAACAATTGTCTAGGATTACAAAACCTGAAGCCAGAAACAACTGCAATACCTTTATCAAGTTCTTATAGCAAAGACATTGACTTTAAGCATAGCTTTGAATCAGAAGTCTAAGGATCTTATTATATGGCTAACATCTGTCTTATTTTTTCCAGTTAAAATTTTTGGTTCACCTTTCATTTAATAAAAACTTGTTCTCTTGCCTTCCTTTCATACCTAGGATTATCTGTGGGTCATCTTTCTATTTATCCATCATCATAGATTTCTGGGAATAATAAGGTGAAGTGAATCATCTTATGGCTACTTCTGTTCTAATGTGCATATGTTCACAATGTACAGATTTGAGGAAAAAATATTTACTCACAGATGTGACTGATTTTCAGAAGCGCCTTTTGTCTCTATCTGAAAGCATTTGTCGGCGAGTGACAGAGTAGATCTTTTTTTTTTTTTAATCTCATCATATTTAAAGATATGAGACACTTCATGAATGTGTACATCCTTGTTCAGGGGCCACGCTAATCTTCTCTTAACATTCTAGTTTTAGTGTCTGTACTGCTGAGGTGAGCACAGCATTTATTTTTAAGGCCTCGGGACATAAGAGTTCTGTACTATCTTCTTTCAGTGGGGAGGTGAAAGTGTGTAGATGAGCCACGAAGTCTCCACTTGGCATAAAGTTTAATACTGTAGTCCTAAATGACTCATATTACGTGCAACTGACATTCATCGGTGTGTTTTAATTGACATTCACACAGGTACGAGGAAATACCATCTCGTGCAAAATTTAGGTATGTTTGCATAGCATCCTCTCCCAATTTTCAATCCCAAGCTATAAAACCATATAGCCATGACCTGAACTAGATGGTTCCGGAAGATTCGTGTCCCCTCTAGTATGTGTGAATGCATGTGTACACACACAAATTCAAATTACCTTTCCCTCTCTTTGTCTTTTATAGCCTGACCGAGTATTCCAAAATGAGGAAGAAATTCTTGCCTATAATGTTTCACTGATATTTGTTTCCATTGGAATCGGGAGCTATTTTTATCTCAGAGACGTTAAAGTTAAGTCTCAGATGTAAGGTAAATAGATACTAATATATAATTTGTCAGGATTTTACTTTCCATTTCCTTTCCTAAAAATTCTTATACAAAAGACTTTGGCTAACTTTCCCCTAAAGGATTGAAATTGAAACGTTAAGAGTCCATAATAAAAACAAAAACAAACAAACAAAAAACAACGAAAGTGCAACACTAAGGTGTTATTCAAGTTTTTTTGTTTTTTTTGTTTTTTTTTTGATCGATAGGTCAATATATACAGTGAGAGGAGTAGATGCTGGTCCCAGGAGGAATTACGTTAACTTGAATTACCTGTATATGTATGTGAAATACTGCAAATGTATCTTATTTCATATGAAATTTGGTTGGTACAACTTTAAACTTTAAAACAAACAGAAGATTAAAGTACATTTCAAGTTCTTTGTCTCTATTCATTTCAATCTGGATGTGTCATGGAGAAACAAGTTTCAGAAACTGGTTACTTTATAGTCTGGTTATCTGAAAGCACAAAGTAAATTTGTTTAGATTATCTTCAAATGCTACTGAGTTGTGCCATAGTCTTATGTGAGAATCTGACAGATCTGTGAAAAGATAGAAGCCTGGTCTTCCCAGGTTCTTAAGTATTTCTTTCGTCAAATGTGCTTGATTTGTTTTTCTTTTAGTTGCTTCCTAACTATGGACTAGATATACTGGGGTGTTTGTAAAGGAAATAAGACATAAATATAAGAAACTGTCTTTAGTTTTGGTTTTTGCAGTCTCATAAATATATTCTTACACTAGCTATACACAATTTATCTCTCCATTTAGACAGAATTTATTCCTACAAAATTAGAAGTACCTAATTTTAATAGAGATTCGAGTCCCTTTTATATCCCTATTCCTACCATTGAATAATATTTCCTTAGTTACTGTGTTAAGAAAAATTAAAAGATATTTAACTTGTTGCAGTTTGAAGTAAAAAATTTCCAAAATGTATGCTCAACAATAATCATTAAAATGTTTGCAGCACACACACACACACAAAAAAAAGAAAAATGAAAAGAAAACTTATGTGGAGATTTGGTATTTAAATTTTTTTTTTAGTTTTCTGGTGCTTGCAAGGTTTAAACCACATTACAAAATGCTCCAGAATTCCCATGCTGCTGTTTTCTGTTGTTGTTATTATTATCCTATAATATTTTCAACCATTTCAGCTTCCACCAAAGGGGTATAAAAGTACTCTTAAAAGTATAAAAATGTATGTTAAAGAAATTAAATTAATTTTTAATCTTTTTAAAAGAAATTTAATATAAATTGGTACCTCCCATAGATGCTAACTGTACTGTTTAATGTTTAAGCTTTATTTACTAAGAAAGGCACAACATGGGATAGACCACGTTTCTTAGCATTTAAAAATAGGAATACCTAGGAATAAATATTTAAGTTCTCTGAAATAAAGGTAATTATATTTATCTGTATTGGTTCATTGTATATATTTATAAAAGAATCCATCCCTCTTTATTTTGACTTCACTAATCCAATCACCTTAAACCACTCATCAGAAAAGTAATCTGAGGGTTTTTTCCCCCTCCTTATAACCCAGCAAAGCTATTCAGAAGCAAAGGCCTTTATTCAGGTGAATGTATTTAAAACCTTCCCTAAAAGAAAAACAAAAACAAAAACAAAAAAACCCCACAAAAACCCAGAAAAGATCCCCCCCAAATTAATTCACTGTGTCAAGCTATGATAATATCTAACACCTTCATAACTTTCATTAATCTTTAAATTGATGACAATTCAGAAATGTACATATTTTTAACTCTACAATTTCTTTTCCTAACAATGTTGTCAGCTTACCTAGACCTAAAAACTTTATTTTCGAAGTAATTTTCCCCATTGTCAACTTAAAACCAATTCACTCCGGAAAATTAAACTGTCATCAGTTAATTGCCCCAACGACAATTATTTGAGACCTGGCTGCATGTTGGAGTGTGTGTGTGTGTGTGTGTGTGATGAGAAGAAGTAATTTAGAACACAAAATGCTGAAGAAAGTCAGGGATATTTTTGTTATATGGTAAAAAGCAATTAAATAACAAGTGTTTTCTAGACACTGCGATCCTCTGAAAGCTCAGCACCGTTAACTAGCAGCAGGGAATCCGGTCCTGTATGTGTGTTTCCTTCTTACCTTCTTTTCTTTTTCCCCCTACCTTTTGCAAACTTGGCATTCTGTTGAACATCATGAAGTTCGTAAAAAGTGATTGCAAGTAAGGAAGACTTACTTATTGGCTGCCTTAGGATGAAGTGGGCCAAAGGCAAGAGATTGAAAAGGAATGTGAGCTGTTGGAGAGGCACCAGGTGCATTTTTGCACTTTGAAGTCCTGCAAAAGAGTGGTGGCGCTCCCAAGCATCCAGGGCCTGGGGAGTATGAGAGAGACGCAAGCTGTCACTGCCATCCAGTGGCAACATGAGTTATTGCATGTTTAGCCAACCGCCAGTTGTGTTGCCTGAGGGCTAAATGAAGACCCACAACTTGTCCTGACTCTTAACAGAAAGTGAAATACAATGACTTTATTTTGTTGTCGATGTTAACACTTTAAGATATATGGGAAGCAAACCAAAGCAGTTTTTTTAATTACCTTTCATCTTAAGTTTGAGTTTTACTGTTTTATCTGGAGGCTTGAGGGAAGGTGTGTAGGATGAATAGATTTGTAGGCAAGTAAATGCTGATTAATGTTTTTGACTTAATATTTTAAGTTCTTAAGGTTGACTCTAAACAACCATCTCATAAAATCATGGATTGCCACTGATTTAAAAATTGAATGGTTTGGCCTTTTTTTTTTTTTGACAGCATTACTAAAACAGAGTTGTACTGATACTGATTCACAACAAAGCCGTGATCATATTGATGAAAGCTACCCAGATTAATATGAAGGCTTTATGTGTTTAATAAACATATAAACTGTAGAGGAAGAATCAGGCTGGGCAAAGATATGCTCCCCTTCGGTTCAGTATGACAAGGCATATTTCATAATTTTCCATCACTTTGCTGCCCTCAGTGTTTATTCCATCCATATAAGAAAAACTTCTTCCATCTTTTGGATAGATTTCAATGGAGGTCCCACCCAGGCTCCTTAGCTTTGAATTTATTAACGATTTAAATTGCCTTACTTTTCACCAATTTTCATAAAAATATAATAGTATTTTATTTTTCCTTGAAAGCTCTTGTCTTCCAGTGACTTCAAAGAGCTGATGTCTCAATACCATTAATCTGTGTTTCCATATATTTCAATAGGAATACCCTAAAAAATGGTATAAATTCAGTATTTTTAAAAGTAGGCTTCACACCCAGCATAGAGCCCAAGGCAGAACCTGAACTCATGACCCTGAGATCAAGACCTGAGTCGGTCAAGAGTTGGTCACTCAAACGATGGACACATCCAGGCACCCAAAAGTTCAGTACTTTTTATCCACTCTTTTACCTAACTATTATACAGGATTAATTCCTACTTTTAGTGTGTTATGCATCTGTTGACATTTTATAGGTACTGAGTTTCAATGCCTCATTGTTATTTGTTTTTAGCAGACTACCAAGAGAAATCGGATCTTATAAGGATGATTGTGTTCCGTATTTTTTCTACGAGTAGAATTATTTTACCTAAGAGAGAATGACTTTATTGTATGGAACACGTATTTATATTATTCCACGCGAATACAGATTTACAATGCATTGAAGGTAGTCCACACAGCTGAAATAAAAATTGAGTTAATCTGAGATGGATTTCCTCAATGTTCCCGCTCACCAGTTGTAGGGGTCTTCTGGAACAGAAATAACTTTCCATTTAAACTTTGGACTCAATGGGGCACCTGGGTGGCTCAGTTGGTTAAGTGTCTGACTTTGGCTCAGGTCATGATCTTGCCCTCTGTGAGTTCGAGCGCCACGTAAGGCTCTGTCCTAACAGCTCAGAGCCTGCAGTCTGCTTAGGATTCTGTGTCTCCCTCTCTCTCTGCCCCTCCCCTGCTTGTGTTCTCTCCCTCGTTGTCTCTCTCTCTTAAGAACAATAAACAAAAAAATTAAACTTTGGACTCACTGATGTCAAACTTTTCAACAAACTATGATATGCCAAAAAAGCTTCCAAAAAAAAAAAAGACTAAAATAAAAATCTGAAAGCATATATAAAAGGTATGCATGTATTGTATATATTAACACTGACTCACAATGACTCTCTTATTTTAAAAGAAATTTTATAAAGCAGAATCAAATATTTAACTGAATAGAACACCTTCATGTATATTCATCAGTTAAAACAGTTTGAACATTTTTCTTTAAAAAAAAGTTGGTATTTGTTATCCTTCTGTTTTTCTGATACATATTGCTTAATATGTAAGCAAATGCTTTCTTCTAGAAAACTTGGAATCTATCCAAATTACAACAAAAATCTGCATACAATTTGGTATTCTTGAAAGCTCTATCTAATGCACTTTTGTTTTTCTTACATGGGCTACATTTGTTTATCTCCTGCTGATTAGGCCTTGAGT